GAAAGAAAAGGAGGAAGGAACACCGCAAAGGAGGAGGACGAGAGCACAAATGAGGACAAGGCTAAGAGTTGAAAGCAACCGTATTTTGAAAGTGTTTGCACGTATAGTTGATATACAACTTAAAAATGTGGAGTCCGTGAAAGTGCAATGTGAGGACGATATATTTGGGTACGAGAGTTTCACGTACATAACTTGGGAAGATTTTGAAGTGGTTTTTACTGTGGATGAGATGACCGGTTTCTGCGATTACTTGTTATATGTAAGTGCATAATTTTAATTTTATTCAAACACAATATATTTAATCATCGTACTTGTCTAATGTTAATATATAGGTACTTGTTTGAGGAAATCAAGAATGGGCCAAAAATAGATCATGGAATTTGTTTTATGAGCCCGTTTGCAATCTCGCCATCAAGACGTAAGGCAAAATTCAAAAATAATGATGAGGCAATTCGAAGCGTTGCAGATCGATTGTCTCTAAGAAAGGACAATGACATCGTCCTAGTGTCATATAATCTCGGGTTTGTTTTTTCATTTGATTATCAATATATTTTAGTAACTTAATTTGGTTTTTCATTTTTATAGAAGACATTGGGTATTGGCGGTGATAGATATGAAAGCAACAAGTTGTTATTATCTTGATTCCTTAGGGCCCACCAATGTCCATCAGCAGTTGAAGCAAGTTATTGATGCGTAAGTAACATAAATTATCGAAACATTATAGTATATTCTTTGATATATTTCATCAATTTTTATAGGGCAATGAAATTGTACAACTCAAAGTGGATCTAACAAAAGGGTTAGCCTCAATTGGATAAATGTTTTGGTGAGGACTTCGATTTGATATATTTCATCAATTTTATAGGGCAATGAAATTGTACAACTCAAAGTGGATCTAACAAAAGGGTTAGCCTCAATTGGATAAATGTTTTGGTGAGGACTTCGAACGATCATTCCTTGTTTAAATTGCAGCTTTCATTTTGACTAATCGTTTATTGTAAATTGTTTGTAGTGTCCCCGTCAGTCGGGAGGTACCGAGTGTGGATATTATGTTTGTAAGTTCATGAAAGAGATAGTCGAGAACGGACTTCAAGTGCTCAATAAGAATGTAAGCAAACTTTTCTTATACACATCTGTCATATCATACATACACATTAGTCATACAACTATCATATGGACTTGAAGTAGGATGATATTATTGGAAATTTATCTACGATAACATCTTGTCTATTCATATTTCTGTATGGAATGGAGGTTATCGTTTATAATTTGAAACAAACTTAAAAATCTTGTGAATTTAACTTAGTGAAAGATTACATTGATGGTAAACTTCTTGTTATTTACTTCTATATATTGATAGATTCTGTTGTAAGTAATGAGTGAATTCTTGAATCTAATTACACATTTTAAGCATGTGGCAATCAATACTATTTTTCGATATATGAATCAATGTCTAAAGGAACAATTTGAAATGTTCGGTGGAGTTGTGAAAGCATTTGAAACGTACTAGCACTTAAAATCCAAAATTTGATTTTGTCAAGTACTATAGACGTAACAGGGACTCTCTTGTGGGTATTATTTGTGATGATATTGTTGTGAACAAAGTTGGAATTTTTTATAATTCTATTGATTGTATGACTTTGCATAATGTTATTATGCTTCAAAGAATGCATATGTAAAATTGGCCATTTTAGTACTCTTTAATAGTTCATTATATACTTCACTTTAAAGAAGAAAACACGGATGATGACATTGATGATACTCGCAAAGAATGGGTATCTTATGTGGCAAACTTTATTATGCCTTGATATTTCGTATCGACATATGATTAATACAATATTTTTGATAACTTAATGTGAATATATTGTATGCAAATGGATTGCTTATATATAATATGGTACATAGATTTAGTATTATGAGGCATTCAATGTGATTTAGTTTGATTATTTGTCAATCTACAATATATATATATTTATTTATTTATTAATTTATATTTATATATATTTATATATATATATATATATAATTTTTGAAATATAATCACGACACACGAACGTTTGTGGTCTTTTTAAATGGCGTGTGCATCAATGACACGCAATGTAAGTCATATATGCGTGTCATAAATTTATGACACACAAATGTATGTCAAGCATATTTATGATGGGGGCTTCAATGATGCGCAATGTAAGTCATACATGCGTGTCATAAATTTATGACGCACAAATGTGTGTCATCTTAATTTATGACGGGGGCTTCAATGACGAAATATATAAGACATACATGCGTGTCATAAATTTATGACGCACAAATGTGTGTCATCTTAATTTATGGTGGGGGCTTCAATGACACTCAAAGAACGTCATTAATGCGCGTCATAGATTTATGACACACAATTGCGCGTCATCAAAAATTCATGTTAGTGGCTTCAACGACAGACATTTGTGTGTCATCCGCACCCATAGATGACGCGCAATGCGCGTCATTAAAGGGTATTTTTCTTGTAGTGTATGTCACTCATTTATCGATCTAACATGTCTTGTAAAATAAAAACATCTCGAATTAAACACATCCGGTCAGTTAAGTCCAAACATATATATATATATATAATTTAATATGGCCTTTGAATTCAAAACCTATTTGGTTTGTGATTAAAAGAAAACAGATGATGAAGCTTACAGTTACATGGCAAACATTGGATCTCGACCACATCTAACGATGCTGATAATTTTCTTGTTGTATCTTTCCTCGGAGAAAAGCAATACAATGATAGACAGCCGCACAAATAATACAATTTTAGATGGGAAAAAGTCATAGAAATTATACTAAAACAAACGTAGACATTGGAGGAGTGAATGAATCACACCACATATTCCTAATTGTAGTTTATTGTTTAAACTTCAAACTTTAAGTAGTCGACAGTGCTTTAGCTTGGACTGATCCCACATACTTTTAGTAGTTAACGAGGGTATTTAGACCGTGTTTTGGTAGTTTTGTGTTTTGTATGTTGTTCTGCCTGCAAGCATGCAGACAAGCTTAAAATTAAGGTTGAAGATTACAATATACGTTCATTGAGCATTTTGTCATATATATATATATATATATAGATATATATATATATATCTATATATATATATAAAAGTTCGCAACGACCATGGTCTAATCTTAATTCAAATTGATAATCACAATTAATGCTTCCCCGTAGGATTATCTTTTAGCTTTTGTCTCTTCATAATTATTAGATCCTTAAATTATGACTTTTATTTTAAAGTAGTCTTCAAACTTTTGAATATTCTAATTTTATCTCTAAATTATGATTCTCTTTCTAAATTACTACTAAAACTTTTGTATAATTTCATTCCCAAACTATGAAATTCATTCTAATTCATTCCCCAAATTTTTAAACTTTTCAATTTCATTCAAACTTTTCAATTTCATTCAAACATGTAATTAGTTTCAATAATAGTTTAATCTAACTTTATTTTTTTCAACCATATAATAATATAGCTTGGCCTAATGGTTTTATTAACAATGGATATGATTAGCATATGTTGATAATTTATGATGAATTTGGAATGTTCAAAAGTTTGAAGACTAATTTAGAAGGATGATCATAGTTTGAGAATTAAATTGAAATATTCAAAAGTTTGGAGATCAATTTATTTAGAATGAAAGTCATAGTCTGAGTACAAAATTGAAATTTTCAAAAATTTAAAAACTAGTTTAGAACAAAAATCATAGTTGGAGGACGTATGATATAGTTAAAACTATAAATTACAATTGAATTCAACTCAAATCAAACTTAAATTGGACATAACTCAAATTCGAAACAATTCAACCCATATTTTATCAGAATGACTTGATTACCACCTCTAAAAAGTGTGTGGTCCTCCTTAATCTTAATTGAATGATTATTTTCCGCTGTCGTGTATATCGTAATAATCTAATAATTATTCTTTAATTAAGTTTAAAGAAATAATTCAAAACAAGCTTAAAGACATGAAATGTGTCATCAACTAAAGGAAAGGCACGTGGAGGGAAATGAATGTGGATTTCTGATCCATTCATTGTCGAGTTTGTTTTGTTTAGGGTAAAGTATATTAATGGTCCTTTGACTATATGGTGTCACTTTGTTGACTCTTCCAATTATTAAAAGTTACAAACAAACCCTAGACTATAATACGTTATTTTGTTGAGTCTCTTTACTATTAAAAGTTATGCAATAGTCACCCGGCTATTCATTATGTATTCAATTCAAATTTTTTCGTTAAAAATTGACAGTAGTCTGAACTGGATGTTAATATGTTGTCTGAGATATCATAAAATTTGATCACTTAATCTCAAACGATAATCATATCTCAGACATCATATTAACATCCAGCTTAGACTGTCATTAATTTTTTAATAGAAAATAATGAGATTGGAACATAATGAATAGTCGAATGACCATTTTGTAACTTTTAATAGTCAAGAGACTGAACAAAATAAATCCTATAGTCAAAGGATCATTTTGTAACTTTTGATAGTTAGAGGAATTAACAAAGCAACACTATATAGTATCACTTGTGTATTTTACCCTTTTGTTTACTAGTTTGTACATCCACATTTCCACTAATGTTTCTTTAGGAAATTCCTACCGTACACACACTTAGTATAAAGTTAAGAGAATGTGCTACCTAAAATATTATAAGTCTGACGTAAAATGCTATAAACAACATAACATTTTCGGTTCAACCTAAAATATTATGAAAAAAATAATATTTTCGATTACACGCTAAAATGTTACAAAGAAGATTTAGACTCAAAAAATTTAATAGTTTAAGTTCTGTGTAACCTAAAATATTACTGTGTGTTTTCTTAATCTTATATTAAGTGGTTGTATAATAGAATTACCGTTTCTTTGGGTTCGAAGATATAAATACTGGACTATTAATAACCCAAAACAAGCGACGTGAACCCAAACCTAAAGCCATATTCAAATCCCCGGTTCGTTAAACCTCACACTGCAATCTATGGAGAAAGGCGTGGCACTGGAGAAGGAGCTGCGTTGTTTGCTGCGATGGAAGAAGAATACGAAGGTGAAGCGCCGGTGCAACCGTCGAAGCCCCGAGGTCGCCACATAAAGAAAAGAGCTACCAAGAACAAAGCACTCTCCGTTTCTTTTAACGAGAAGGATCTCAGGTACCATTACCACACGCATAACACATCCTATATTTCCACCGTAGACAGGGGAAAAAAGATAAACTGTGAACTGATAAGGGATTACGTAACTGGGTTTCACAAGAGGAAGAAGAAGCGAAGAAAGGAAGCCCAGAAGAAGCAAGAGCAGGCTGAACGGCGCAAAAAGGTTTTCCCTTATCTGATTTTTATATATAAATTAAACTTTTCTAGACGAAGCTGTTTTACTTCGATTCAGATGTCTTCGAACTGCAGCTAATATTGTTAATTTTACTCTTTTTTGCCTTGGTTACTGAATTATTATGGCTGATGAAGCATTGCTTTTAACAAATAAAGGAAATAAGTTCATTGTTTTCTTTTCATTGCACTATACAGATAGAAACTAATTATCTTTGGCATCACAATTTGAACTTGATGAGATTACTATCAAATTGGTCATTTCTAGAGAAGCCACTCTGATGGGATTGTCAGTTTGTCACCATTAATCTGCAAATGAGATTTTAGTAAACAAGTGAATCACTTGGGGCAAACCTTGTGCTTTCATTCTGACTTCTGTTTTCACCTGTTTAAAGTGCAAAGTCTTTATTTTTCCTAAAGTAACCATGTCCGACAGGACCGACACCCTTATTGGACAAATATCTGGGCATGGATCTAAGGCATTATTCTCCAAATACATAGAAAAACTTGGAAAACATTGAGCATGACATGTCAGGAACATACTGGTATCCGACACTCCGTTTAATCTGAGTAACATAGGAGGATATACAAGGAATTGGGACTCTTCGGCATGCTATGACATGACTGAAGATATTATATCATTCTTTTGATTAATTTTATTTACAAGATCTCCTTCAACCTGGAGAAATGAGTTGGGACTCTTCGGCATTTGATTTATTTATTCTATGAGGTTCAATATTTTTTTGTATACGAATCTTCTTAGTCTTTGTCCTTTCGTTTTTATTATCCTATAACTTAGGTAGAAATGATGGTTTGCTCGATATCACTTGTTTTTTTTATATATAATATTAGGAATGTTATAGTCTTACGACTAATATTATAATAGCCTAAAGGGTCAAATCATATGATTGCACACCATATTATTGTTGCAAGTATAATCTAAACACAATTGATACTACATTTAGTTGTCAAATGAACTAAATTGCATGTTAAACTAATTTAATTTAATATAATATTTTAAATATTAAATACATTATATGTAGGAATATTTTATGGAGAATTTTATTATGCACAATAGAAAATTATAATATATGAATTTGATTCATATAATTAGGGGTGTTTATCAAGCGAGTCGATCTCGAGTTGGAAAAAACCCGAAAAAAAAATATTAATTGGGCCAGTCCTGCTATATATAGTATTATGTAGTAACATGTGAATTCTACAAGGTTCAAGCCCAGTCAATGGGGGTATACCCTTTTTCTTACCCCTTCCTCTTCCACGCATGCTGTACATATTCGAATGATTTTAACTATATATCAGTATCTATATATCTTTAAGACTTGAAAGTCCAAAGTGATCCACAAAGGAAATTGTTACCATTCACTCTCACTTTGTGTCGAGGTCATGTTACTTTTCCAAATTGAAGTGTCAACAATCAACATATTTATTTTCTACTTGCTCTATTTACAATTCTAATGATGTCTTCTTTCTTTTGTCCTCTTGTAAAAGGTCTTATCTATATGGGAAATAAAGGGCAAGCCCTCACCATTATCCAAACGCCATTGTTTGGTGCTGGACACTGAGATATGTGAATGGGATATTCCTGGGATTGTGAGTCTGCTTCAAAGTTCACCTTATTTGAAGAAACTAGTAATAAATTTGTATTACTGCGACAACTCCAAGGAAAGATCATTGCTTCTCTTTCTTCGGATATATTAGAAATGTTGCATATTTGAACTATGGGAAATCAATGAATATTGAATAATGATTGATGTCTGATAATTTTGGTGTTTTTTGGATTTGACTACCGATTACTGTTGGGAGGAGTCTAACTAGCATACAAGTCAAGCAATAGTGCACTTTAACACCATCCACCTTGACAAAACTAAAATGAAGGCTTAGTTTTTTTTCAAAACTACAAGTGCAGATTTCATATGTTACATTGACAAATTTCTTCATTCAACGCAAGGTTTGAGACAAAAACAAGAAATGGCAAAACTTGAAATCTTTCATGTTGCCATTTTCAACAATTTGAGAACTTTTTTAATATGAATTTGAGCTTCAAAAGGCATCAGATATTTTCATTCCATTTAAACTAAACATGCACGCTTTCTCATTTATAAAATACACTCTCATATCATGTTGAGTTCCCTGTCCTGTTTCCTTACAATTTCTGCTGGCGTCTTTCTATTTGTTCTCTCGTTTCTGTTTTCTGGTTTATATACGTTATACAGATACACATATTTCCTTTGAGAAGTACATTATTTTGTTTCTTTTCAAGGACTATGAAGTATGCATAATAGGTACAGTATAGTTGGGCCAACTTATAATGGAAAAAAAAAAATAGAAAAAGCCCACTTAAAGTGGGTTTACACCCTAACAATTAGCAGAAGATTACATGTCTTTGAGAATTCAGACAATGATTGATGAAAGAAATTCATCGCCTAACATGATTGATTTCTTGCTTGGAATTCTCTAATCATTAAGGCCTGATGTGTACTTTTGTCTACTTGCAGTTTGAGTTTGATCAGAGTTTTTTCGACTTTTATGAAGTTGATGGAGAGGAATTCCTGGATTCAACTAACTGGTTTTTCAAGTGCTTTCTGCAAAGCCTGGAGGATATTGAGCTAGCTGGCTTCCAACAGAATTCTTCAGGGTCCCAGTTTTTAGTAAAGTTTATGAAATTTCTGCTCAGAAGAGGAAAAGTGCTCAAGAAAGTAGCCATCTATGAACAGAGTGGCGCTCTTCATAAATCCTGGAAATTTTCCAGACCAAAGATGAAAATGGAATTGGAAAATGCTAAGAGAAACCAGATCATATCGACCCTCTCAAGTTGCATTCTCTTTAATGTAGTATCCGAGTAGATAGGACTTTCAACTTCCTTTTTGTGAATCTGGAACTTAGCACAGTTGGTTCTTTTGATAGGTGATGTTTAGTAGATTCGAAATTCAAATCTGTATCTGCAATCTCTTCACCTGTTACTAGTCAGACCATATCTGCGTAACAAGAAAAGAAGAAAAAAGCTTCCCTTTTTCTTCCAAAGTAAATTACAGATAGGACTTGCGTTTTCTTTGAAGAAATATTTGTTGTTTAGCTTCGACTGTTGAGTTAGAACTTATAAAGTATATAAGCTTTTATGGATAAAAACATTTCTTCCAGTATTTGTTGGACAAAACAGCAAATGTTGAACCTTAGCAATGTGAAATTTGCTTTTTAATTACAAGGAATATGTTTCTATTAGGAACAATAGTATTTGCTTTTAGAAATTGGTCAAAGAAATCAAGAGGTCTATAAACTATGAACTGGGAAGAGACAGGCACTAAGAAACCAGGCAGGCAGGCAGCAGACAGAACTAGCCTGCCATCTGTAGTACTGTTAAAATTATATGTTCCGTCAGAGGCTTATATGGCTTAACAAGTAATTACTTATCAATCGGTAAGGTGTCCCATAGAAGCTTCAAAATTGAATGAGGCCGGTAGTCTGTTCTGTTATCCTCTCGTGACCGTTGCTTGTATTTTTCTTCTCTGTCGGTGTCTTGAAATTAAAATGGAAATTGAATAATTGTCATAAAAAAATAAGTAATTTGATTCTATTATTGTTGTTTTTTATTCCCGTTCGTAACCAAAAAAAGGCTACTACGGAAGTTGGCATATGCTAAAGACGAAAAGAGAATATACCAGCTAATATTTTATTGTACCTACTTTCCCAAGTTTATATCTCATAGCTTACGTGTGTAGCACATTCTACCCACAGTATAAGTTATTTAACAGGGATGGATCGGAAGCGGGTCAAGTAGTCGTCCCCTTAAAATTTAAAATTATTATATATTTTTAAAAAAATTATGTATTTATTATTGAAAATCTGTTTCGCTTCCTAAAATTTTAGTTCGCCCCCTAGAATTTTAGTTTATCACTCTTAAGTTTAAGTTCACCCCATTAACATAAAATTCAGCATACGTCTCTATTACTAAATATATAAATATTTTAAACTTAAAAGGCACGCATAGTAGAGTGTAGAGAACGATGAAACAAATTTATCGGTATCGATTGTGATTGTAAAAAGCATTGAAGAATAACATTTTTGCTATGGTTGAAAATAAATGAAAAGAAAATCTAATTTTAATTAAGAAGATTGATACGATAGGATAAAACTGATAAAACTATCACTTTAAATTGTTTTGATTCGTTTGTTTTACGGAAAATAGATTCCGGAAAATGAATTTCGTAAAAATGATTTACATAAAATGATTTTGATGATATTGTGTAAATCATTTTCACTAATTGATTGATACATTATAATTAGTTTTATAGGAAATTATTTACATAAAATGAATAAAGTTCGGTTCAGTTAATATTTTAAAAAAAATTGGTTCAATTATCGATTAAAGAAAAAAGTTTAGTTTATTTGGTTAATGTTAATTCAATTCGATAGGTTGAATTAACCATTTGAATACCCTTAATTTTAATTAGTATTTTATTAACATACTACTAAATTATTATATTAATATTAAATATATAAATTAATATTACTTATTATTAATAATTTAATAATATTATATTTATAAAAATAATACATAATATGAATTATATTAATAATTTATTATATATGATTAATATCATCTATTATTATAATATATCTGAGTATATATTAATATAATATTAAAAATATAATATTATTAAAATATTAATGAAATATTAAATGTATAAATAATATTTTTTGAGTGCTTATACTCAGAAGTGAAAAGTTAAGAAAATATTTTACGAAAAATCATATAATAAAACAATTTACAGAAAATACAAAAGAACTAGGAAAATGATAAACATAAGGAAAATCAATTAAAACTATCAAACAATGAAAAATGTTTTTCGTAAAACCAATTACAGCTATCAAACATTTTCGGAAAATATTTTCAAGCTATCAAACACAGGAAAATGAGGAAAACATTTTCCGAAAATCAAAACTTTCTGGAAATCATTTTACAGTGTTTGGATGATGTTGTGAAATTCATTTTCCACTGATTGATAATTTTTAAAAAATTATTTATTATAAATATAAAATACAATTAATAATATTATTTATTAACAAAATAATAATAATATTTTTAAAATATTAGAATAATTGATTTAATATTATTTATGTCAATATTATTATTAAGGGTAAAGTATAGTAATGGTCACTGAACATTTCTGAAGCTTGCATTTAGGTCCCCCAACATTTAAAACTTGCAATACAGTCCCCCAACATTTATTCCGTTTGCAATATGGTCCCCCAACTTAAACCACAGTTAGAAAATTAGGATAAATTATATAAATGGTCATTGAACTTTTCAGTCACTTGAATTTAGGTCCCCCAACTTTTAAAACTTGCAAAACAGTCATCAATTTCATTCTAAACCCCAATTTCCAAGTAATTCAATTTTATTCTAAACCCTAAATTCCAAAATACTTAAATTAAATTCAATTATGTCAAATTTATTATTATTTAATTTCATCTTATTTCATGTGATACGTATTTTTTATATAAATATAATAGTATAATTTTTATCTGTTGAAGAAATTTTTTAATTAAAAAAAGTAGTTAGGATATAGAAGAGGTTGAAAATAATTCGAATTTTAAATTTATAAAATGTTATTTTGACGTATAAATAAAAGTGTAAACTACTCGGTTGACAACTTAACTATCTAGCCCCTTTTACTTTTGTCATCGATCTTTTAAATTTATCAATCATACCACATAATTATTTAACTGTTTCAACTAAGCCACTAGTCGTTACCAATTGATAAAAATGATGTGGCAGTTAAAAGGAATTGGTATTATTATACATTCAGTCTTTATTATTTATATAATCAATTTGGTCCTAAATTAAATAAAATTTAATAAATTAATCATTTAATTAGGATCTGACATGTGTTAGCACATGATCATGACACGTGTCATTGGTGACACATGTTACCACCTAAATATTTATATATGCTATCAATTTGGTCCTAAATTAAATAAAATTTAATAATTAATCATTTAATCAGGATCTGACATGTGTTAACACATGATCATGATATGTGTTATGGTGACACATGTCACCTCCTAATTAGAAGAAAATTAAGTTACAAAGAAGTAAAATTTGGGTCTTGGGCAAACTCAAACCTGAGTCACGCAAATGAAAGATACAGGTGGAGCCACTAAGCTAACACCATCGTTTGTGTTAAGAGATATACAATAATACATATACTAATAGTATGATCAATGCCAGAAAAAAAAAAGAATATAATGTAAAATGGAAATAATGAGATTTGAACTTCGGCAAAAAATTTGAAAGCAATAAATGATGGGAAAATATTATATTTTTACAATAAAAAATATTATATTTGATAATTGTTTGATAGATTTAATATATTTTTTAAATATTAGTTGATACAATATTTTAAAAGAATAAATTTAAGATTTATATATTTTTAAACTAAATTTAATAATTATATTTTTCATATTTATAATTCATGATTATATATAATCTTAAGTTGAGTATTTCTAATATAATTAATAATTTTAATTTCTTATTAAAAATAAATATTCAAAAAATATAAATGATTCATACATTATATGAATATATTTTTTATTTATACATCTAAATATAAATATACATTTATATAAATATATTTTTATTCGTTGTGTCTGTGCCTTGAACTCTTTCTTCAAGCCTATATTACCTTAAATTGAAGTATTTTAGAATTTAGGGTTTAGAATAAAATTGAATTACTTTGGAAATTGGGGTTTAGAATGAAATTGATGACTGTTTTGCAAGTTTTAAAAGTTGGGGGACCTAAATTCAAGTGACTGAAAAGTTCAATGACCGTTTATATAATTTATCCTAATTTTCTAACTGTGGTTTAAGTTGGGGGACCATATTGCAAACGGAATAAATGTTGGGGGACTATATTGCAAGTTTTAAATGTTGGGGGACCTAAATGCAAGCTTCAGAAATGTTCAGTGACCATTACTATACTTTACCCTATTATTAAAATATTATATCTACAATTTTTTTTGGTGAAAACGGTATTATTAGAAAAAATCATACATAAAAAGGATTGTGGATATCTCGTTGAAAACCTCTCTAATCCTAATTGCCTAATTGGAGGAAAAGAGTACATCCGAATCCTTAAAGAATCAAATACAATCGACACAAAACAAATCAACTAGACAATCCAGCATCGTTAATCTGCAGTAAATTCATGACGTCCTGTGAAGGCCTTTCCATATAGTGAACCCCAAGATGATTATCAATCGTCAAACTAGTCAAACAGTCCGCTACCCCATTACCATGACGTGAGATATTACAGAATCGGACACCCCAATTTCGTTGTACCATAACATGAATATCTGTTAGAATGGACATATTTCCTTGTTCGATTCTATCCAGTTGAAGAAGCCGAAATACCTCAAGGCTATCCACTTCTGGCTCAATCCTACGAAAGCCCCGTTCCCAAGCCGTTAACATTCCGATAAAAACTCCCCAAAGTTCCACTTCAATCACCAAACAAATACCAATGAGAATAATATATTATTAATTATATTAATTATTTATTAAAATATTAATATTATTAAAATATTAAAAATAATAATATTATATTATATATGAAAAAACATATATTAAATATTTGACAATTCAATAATATTATTTTTATGAAATTAATAAATAATATATATTATTAAGCTAAGGTTATTACAAAGTAGTATCTGTTCTAAATACTCTCAACCATTTGACAATGAATGCACAATCACCCTACTGCAGCCGCTGATGCTCGAAACCCGTGACCTTTAGGAACAATAACGATTCCTTTAACCACTGAAGTAAGTTGATTCGTGCAATTTATTATATATTA